TGTGAGAAAGGACAGCCTGAGTGTGCCACAGCAGAGGGGGAAACCCCAATGAGATTTGGCCTCGACTACCTTTTCGCCCCACGTGTCCCAGTATATTGTACGAACACATTAGGATTAAAAACACTTCCCCATGCAGGAGGGAAAAGGGAACTCATTCCTTGACCGGCACACTCCTAGGATAAAATGGCAATGAAGAGCCTTCCACACAGATCAGACCCTTCCTATACTAAGTGGAGGAGGAAGAATCCAGAGAGAAAGAAGAGCTCTGTGCCCCTCCGGGGGCCAACTGGCCCGGGAGAGTTCACTGAAGGGAGTCTTGTTCAGAAGCCAGGTTTCTAACCCAGGCCCAGTGTCCTTGAGTAAGAGGGGGAGCCATCCGTGTGCCTATCTCCTGGATCAAAAGAATGAGAAGTTGGAAAGAGCCAGAGAACCACACCAACCCTGCTCAGAGAGCTCATTCAGCAGTGAAGACCAGGCGTCCAGAGAAGACTGGGGTTGAAGGCAGTCTGGGGCCTGGAGCTCAGCAGACCCCAAAGCCGACCAAGGCAGGCCCCCGGGGCAGTGAGAGGACCTGTGAAACTGAGAAGACTGTCCTGGGCGACAGTGACCAGCCAGGAAAGGTTAGGTGGAAACCAGGGCTAGGAGAGGTGCCTGGATGCCAAAAGAAAACACTAGTCCAGATCTCTTCTTAGCTCAATCCCGATGCCACAGAGACTGGCACTCCTGGGCGAGGACTCTGTAACCTCGCCACCTGCTGGTTCCCTCTGGCCACCCGCACCTGCTAAAGTGAGGGTCACAGAACTTCAACTTGTAACTGGAGACCTTCCAGCCAAGGCCCTAATTACTGGGTGGATGGAGAGAGGAGGGGACGGAGATTTGCCATCTCCTTCTTCAGCCCGGTGTTCGTGGTTTTCTGTATCCTCCGGTAAAAAGTTCACAGGTTGTACCACTCTTCCTCGCCAGCGAACCTTCCCTCTGGGGCTGCTAGTTATGCGCTGGGTTTACTATTACGCACATCAAGTCATTGGTTGTGCAAACAGCGGGCAATTCGGAAGAGGACTGTGGGAAAAAGTGTTCAGCTGATAAGGTTATACAACCCAAAATGGGGTACTTTGTACTTTCGTACACCCAGCTTTGAGCCTTAGCCTCTTGAGTTTATAAGGCAGAGAAAAGCAGGAATACTCAGCCACAGAGGGCAATGGCTTAGTAAACAAATATGCTTCACTTCTCGAGTCCTGCTGAACAGAGACCCGGGGGACAGGACAGAAGGCTGCAGAAGCAGCCCCAGCACTAACTCGGGACTGGGTGACTGGGTCAAGCTCAGCTCCCCTCCTGTGCCTCAGTTTCCTCATCTATAACATGGAAGGTTCGGATGAGAAGCCAAAGGGCTCTCCCAGTTCTGGGATGCCAAAAGAAACTCAAAGGAAGGGTTCCTCCTCTGGGCTTACAGAAAAAAGGGGACTGTTAGGTGTCGGCATGGAGCTGCCCCAGAGTTCCAAATGCCTCAAGTCCTCTTTTGAAACCTCAGTGCTGAGTGGGGGAGTTAAAGACAGCCTGACCCAGCTTCTCCGGCCTCAAACCCAGCGCCCTACAGGTGCTCTGGGGCGCTGCTTTCTAAGCCGGCTTTGGGAATGGTGGCCGGCACTGAGAGCCTCAGCAGGAACAGGATGGGAGCCAACGAGCTCGACAGCCACCATCGCCTCCCTGGCCTCGCTGTATCACCCTTGACATTCTGCCTGGAAGCAGGAGCTTGGAGGAGGTGGGTGACCCCCTCGAAGCCTGAGGCCTGGCCCGTGGTTCTGTAATCTTTGCTCTGCCATACTCAGGGAAGTAGGCAGAGGAGTAGGAGGAAAACCCATTTATTACTTCTCTGGGATCTGACAGCTTGGAGCAACATCGAGAAGGAGACAGAGAAACAGCTAGGAAAGGAGCCAGTCCCAGTGAGTTTTACCTCTCAGTAGAATAAAAATGGGCTGGACACACCTTGTCAGCTGCCCTCCGTCAATAATTGCGGCCCAGCTGGAGGAACCTGAGTTCCCAACTAATAGGCATTTCTTTTTTTGTTTTTAAGATTTTATCTAGTTATGTGAGAGGGGAGAAGGTCAGAGGGAGAAGCAGACTCCCCGTGGAGCTAGGAGCCCGATGCAGGACTCAATCCTGGGACTCCGGCATCATGACCTGAGCCAAAGGCAGTCGCTTAACCAACTGAGCCACCCAGGCGCCCCAATAGGCATTTCTCATAGAGACAGCAAAGGAGAGCTTTAAAAAAATAAAGTGTGTGTGTGTGTGTGTGTGTGTGTGTGTGGTGGCGGTTGGTGGAAAGAGGGGGTGCGGCGCTGCGAGCCAGCAGGCTGAGGACCCCCCCACTTCCCAAGATGCTGGCTCTAGACCTCACCTATTACATAAAGGTACACCCAGTCCCCGCCCCCACCGCTGAGCTTAAAGATGAAAAATCCGGCGTGTTTGTTCCAGGCAGATGTAATCACACGAACAGTCAAGTCTAGAGGGCAGGACACTGCATGAATAATTCAGGCACTCCAGTCACTCGATTGTGTGTGCAGATAAAACACCAGTCAACCGCTAAACAGGTCAGCTGATAAACTTGTTTGCTCAGGCCTAACCACCATCCGCCAAATGCACCCAAGACCCACACTACAATTAGTGGCTGGGCTTTCTTCTGCAGAACCCTCACAAGCCTAGGGAGTGGCCAGCCTCATTAGGTCAGGGCTGCCTTTCTCAGCCCCGGTTTCTTCACCTCCTTGCCTCTTTGCTCCTCCACAGCCACAGGGCGATTTCACCCAACACGAGACTGTGCCCTAAACCCTGCGAAGGCCCTGGCGCTCAGAGCACACTCGTCCGTGCTCGGAAGCCAAGGGGAACGGGCTGGAAGGCAAAGGGGAGTAGGGAGTGGGGTCAAAGTGCTCAGTGGGGCAATCCAGAGATGTGGCCTGGAGTCCGAGCTCTGCCCCACTGACCTCCCTGAAGCCTCAGTTTCCTGGCCTCTACAAAGGGCGCAAGGAATCCCATCTGTCTGCCTCAAGCAGCTGGGAGGACTGTGAGACTGTGTTGCCAAACCTCAGGCATTCTCCCCCTAAGAGCCCAGTCTGGGGAATGGCCAGAGGTCCCGGACGCACACAGCTGCTCTTGGGGCGAACCCCACCACCAAAGGCGTTCTGACGGTTAACTCTTCCGGAGTTCAGAGTCTCCCCAGGACTCCGGGAACACCTTTGCTCCACCGGCCAAGGTGGATTCTTTGTGCCAAAGAACCATCCACTCACAGACTTGGGGAACACCACCCATGCAGACCTCAACATGCAACAACGCATTACACCTTAATTACGAAGCTCTTAGAATAACTGCTGCTATAAATTTTAAACTTGGGTGCAATTACCCTCTTTAAACACACCCAGGATACTAAGCACTGAGGGGGAAAAAAGAAGGGGGGTGGAGAAAGGAAGGAGGTGGCACCTTGCCTGATACCCCAAGATCCTTGAACTCCTGAGAACCCAGGGCTGCTGCAGGCATTCGGACTGGACGAGTCAGATCCCGCTGGTCCCACCTAAAATTTGGACACAACCTGTCTCCAGCTCATTCTTCTGAAGAGAAATATCCTTACGTACCAAGCCGTGTCTGCTTATCATTTCCGTGGCTCAAGAAGTAAGACCCTGGTAGCCTTCCTGCGCCTTCCTAAGGAGCTCATAATCCCTCAGGAAGCCACAGAGTGGCTTCCCACCTTGCTCCAGAAACTCGGGCCCCTTTCTGGCTGCCCTCTACCCAACATTGGGGCTCCTCCAGTACCGAAAGGAAACCACAGATTCAAAAAGCTCTACAGGAAGCCGCTAGAGCAGGTGGCAATCTACAAGCATTCCTGGGTCACCTGCCCGGGTCCCTGTGCGCGCCCCCCGCCCAGAAAGAACAAAATTTAGACCTTGTAAATGACTGTTCGTTTGAAGCAGAAAATCCATTCAAGTCACGGTCACCAAAGGCTAGAATGAGTCAACAGCCTTCTGAGATTTCAAGAACACCAATTGTTAAAAAGAACAACCGGCCTGGGCCATTTATTTGTGCCAAGTCACTTCTAATCTCTGGCCAAGCCAAATTACAGGCAGCCTCTCCTTGGAACACAAATACACAAACAGGCCTCTCCCACAGCCCAGCCTAGCGCGGGGACGAGTTACTGATATGCACGGAGATAAAGGCTGTTTGTATTTGCTAGGTTTGAGGTATACTGTTATTAGATGAGTGACAATTCGAGGTAGTTTACATATCCATCAAACAGCAGCACACTAGCGAAACTGGTTTGACTTCAGGATTTCAAAGCTGAGCTCAACGACCAGCCATCTCAACAGCCCCGGCAAGGCTGCCCCAGGGCAAGTTACTTCACCTCTCTGCTTCAGCTTCCTTCTCTGTAAAATGGGAACCCAGCCGCCTTCCAATGAAGATGGAGAGGAGAAAGTGGCCTTGGAACTGCAAGGCATTTTAGCCATAGTTCATCCTGGATTCCTATTTCTCAGCAGTTAGTGGCTTGTGCCCTCAAATTCTGACAGCTCAGCCTGGCTTTTGAGACTCTTGAAGTTTAATCTTATCAAGGGAGAACATCAAATTTTCGCACACAATCACACACAGACATACCCCTCCTGCGTTTCCCCTCGAGAATTTTACATTAAAACATTTCAAAGCAGCCGGCCATCCCCACTCTGGGTTTCAGGAGTTTGTAAAGCAAATCCTGAAGGTACAACTTTCCCTTTGCTCCTTTATCGTCCACCAAGATCCAAGACCGGGACTAATTTCACAAGCTTGATTGCTAAAATCCTCAACATGTCCAAGAAATCAGCGATGCCTTGGACCCTGCATTTTGGAGACTGGATCAGTTCACTCTTCAAGGGGAAGTAGGAGGAACACAAGGACTAGGCTCATTTTCAAACAGGAGGGGCTATCAGAAACCCATGGATTATATGTTTTTAACCATCATCAGATTTTTTAGAAAGAAAAGCACTTACCTGCTTGTGCATTTCGATGTTCAGGCCATAGGACATCTCGTAGTACTAAAAGTGAAAAGAATCGCCGTTAACAGGCAACACACCGATCTGCTCACTTTCCAAACTCAGCTTTTGGGGCAGGTTTCTGGCCAAGTCATACTTTTATGATATGTCAGCTAAAGGGGTTCAGCCCAAACCCGAAGCCAGCTACAGAGAGGGGTTTAAGAGCTGACAGTGGGCGAATGCTGTTCTCTCCTCTACAGGACATTATATATGCAGTAGTTCCAAGAGCAGAGCCCAACCCCTCCCACAAGCATCCCATGTGCCATATATCCTGTTTATACAAGGTTCGGGTTCAACAGGGAATCGTGTGTACACTGGGACCCTCTTGTCCTCTGAGAGTTATTTAGCAATGTGTCGAAGGCCTCTTATGTGGAAAGCAGTGCAGGGAGGCCGCTTAAGTGCCTTCCATGTCCTCTCACAAACGGAAGATTGAAACTCACTGAAACAGACACTGGGAAACGGGTGAGAATCAATCTCCTGCCCCAAGGCTGGCCAGATTCTCCAGTTGGGGTATCCCCGAGGGAGGCGAATGGAGGCAAAGGGCTCTTTCAAAGGCTCCTCCAGGCTCACAAAACCCAGGGGGAGGCAAGGGGGAGATGGAGAGGGCTTCTGTCCCACTCTGGCCAGATCCCAGGGCTGCAAAGCAGCAAAGTTTCCAAACACTCCCAGGAGGTCTCTAAGAGAGATTCCTCCAACCCCGACGAGGGCTGATCCAATGCTATCTCACTAGCCAAGACAGGGCAAGCAGCCCTCTGGGAAACCTTGAAAACACAAATCAAAGGGGCACAGAGGTAGTGTCCAAGCGCCCCGCCTGAAGTGGGGTTTCTCTTTCTGCCCCTCCTCTCACCCACCCTCCTGCAAGTGGCCGGGGCTAAGGGGGGGCGGGTGGAAGGGGGCGGCAGGAGTGGAAGGTCGGGGTACACTGCGGCTGACACCGGCTCCCAGAGCTACCCTGCGGCTGGCTGGTCGCCGCGTGCTGGGGACCCCGCTGCAGGGTCCCCGGACCCCCGCCCCCGGCTCGCCCCCGTCCCGGCCCAGGCCCGCGGCAGCCTCTCACCATCACGTAATGGCGCTGCATCTCCGTCTTCTCGTTCGCCAGCTTGTCGTACTCCACTTTGAGGCTGCGAGGGCAGGAGGAGCCGGCTCAGGCCTGGAGCCCGCGCAGCCTCCTCCGAGGCTCCAGCGCCAGGGCCTCCGCGAGCCACTTTCCTACTTCCTGACGCCCCCGGGGGTACCCCGATCATCCCGAAGCCTCGGGGCGGAGGGGGCTCTGCTCCCCGCCGCCGGGAAGGGAGTGAAACAACTTGAAACTTCCCGCGGCCGAGCGCGTGGACTTCTCCAGGCCGCGGGGGACGGGGGCGGGGGGCCCGGCTCGCGACCCCTGGAACCCGGAATGAGCCCCCCGCGACACCGATCCTCACCCCGCGCGGGCCCCGCGGGCGGCCGGGAAAGCCAGGAGGCTGCGGGCAGCAGAGGGTTAAGGCGCCGCGCTCTCGGAAAGGGGAAACAAAAGGCGGAGGCCCGGGCTGCCCCGCCGCCCCGGGTCGGGAGCCCCCACCGTCCCCGCGGGGGGTGGCAGGAGCCGTGGCGGGGACGACCCTCCCCGCCTGCCCCGGGGAGGCCCCCACCCGCCTTACCTGTGATATTGAGCTTGCAGGAACTGGAATTCGTCTTTGATCCTGTCACAAGACTCAGCCACCGTGAATTTAAATCCCGGCTGCCCGGGTTGATGGGGAGCCTGGAGCCCGCGAGGACAAGACAGGGGAGGGGGCGGGGGAGTCAGACGGGGCTCCGGTCTGCCCCTGCCCCTCGGCGGCTTCTGCCGGTTCCCCCCGCCCAACCCGAGAGGCCACCCTCACAGCCAGAACGTTCCTAGCAAGTTTCTCAGCTGCCCGTCGAGGCGGGGGGGGTGGGGGTCGGCGGTGGACGCCCCAAATCCCTCCCCATTGGAGGCCGGGGCTCGCATCCCCTGCACGAACGGGCTCCCATTCCCAAGTAAGACAGGGACTGGAAGACAGCTGGGTGAGTTGGGAGAGGGGGCGGGGGGCAGCGTGAAAACAAACAGTGCCGCTGGAACACGGGCAGCCCCCCACGCCACTCGGGCGGAATTAACCTCCTCTCTCAACGGCGCCCCCCCATCCCTATCCCCTTTGTGTGAGCGCGCGCGCGCGCGCACACACACACACACACACACACACACCCCATAAAGGTAGCAACAAGCAAAATGGAGGTGCCAGATAAACTGCCTCGTTTACCCTGCTATGATAGATGCTTAAATAAACCGAGTTGCAATTACTCACCGGATGTCTGCCTTGCGGATACATGGCAGGGAGGGGTCGTGATTCCAAGAGCGTGGAAGCGCCGAGAGCTCGGGCCGGGGAGGTGCGGGGGAGGGGGGAGCCAAGCCCCAGCGGGGGGCGGCCGGGAAACCGAGAGCTCGCCCCCGGCCCCCCCAGCCCGCTCTCGCAGCGAAATCCCAGAGTCGGGCGCTCGCCCCAAGTGGAGACAAAGAGCTGCGGAGCAGGCGTCAAAGTCGTCTGCGGGCGCCGAGGCCGGGCGGCGGGCGCGGGCTTTGTGCGCCTAGGGCTCGGCGGGCTGCGGCCGGCCGCCTTCCCCCAGCTGCGTGGAGCGCTTCAGAGCCGAGTGCCGTGCGGACATCGTCGTCTCCCCGGTGGCTCCGGCGCGGGGTCCCGAGGCCGGGGTCCCCTCCTGGGGCGACTGCGGGCCCCCTCCGGATCACTCAGAGCCTTGCGCCGCAAGGGGGGCGCGCCGAGGCTGCCCCAGCATCCGGGGCGTGCGGGTCGGATCCCAGAGGCGGCGCTCGGGGAGAAGAGGAAGGAGGCAAGCACCGATGTGGTGGCTGGGGGCCGCAGGAGCGCCGGAGGGTGAGGGCGGGAGCCCGGCGCGGGCGCTTCGACGCCCCCCCTCGGAGAGGAGAGCCTGCTGTTCCGTCTGCTACTGCCGCCGCCGCCGCCGCCGCCGCCGCCGCCGCCGCCGCCGCTGCAAGCCCTTCCCAGGGCCGAGGAGGAAACTCCAGATCAGTAGGTGCAAATCTGCCGCCCTGGCATCCTAACTCCAGCGGGCACAGGAAGCCTCCACAAAGGGGTCCTCGCTGTTCCCAGCTCCAGCGCCGCGTCCTCGGCGAGGAGCGCTCGGCGCCGCCACCGCGGCCGCCTCGGAGCGCACAGGCAGGAGAGCGCAGCCGGAGACCCGGGAGCTCTGCGGCTTCCTTCCTTCCCCTCGGCCCGGCTCTCCTCTCCGCGCCCTGACAAACCCCCCAAACACACACTCCCAAACACACACACACACACACACACACACCCAAAAAAGTGCCCCGGACCTGCGGATACCACACACAGACAGGCTAGGGGGACGAGCACGAGGTCTGAACTGCCGCGAGAGCAGTTCCAAATAGGGACTGAAAAGTAACAAAATAATGTGGCAGCTTCGCCCGGCGCTGGCCAATGGGAATGCGGGGCCCCCACGTGGGGCTACCGGACTCGGCCTGCGACTGGGCGCCGCCGGGCGCGACGTCACAATGCCCTCTTGTGTCTAAAACTATGCATGAAAAGTAGCAATCAGGCCCTACCCGCTGGTGACTTTCGCATGGGAGTGAAAAACAGCGCTCCTCAGATCAGGAATTAACCGAAAGACATATAATAAATAGATATATATTATAGTCCCGGGCTGCTAGACTCTCCCCCCCCACCGGGCTTCTCTCTTTCCTCCCCTCCCCCCACGATCTACTAGCAAATAATTATTTGGCGGGAGGGGGAAAGAAAGGAAACAGGAATAACAACAAAAGAAAAAAAGACAAGCTGTACGGTCCTCAAAACCTGTGGCTGGTAGTAATGTATCAGTTTATTCTGCAGTGGCGGCGGACGATTCCTCCCTCGAATCCCATTAGGTCTGCAAAGCAGCCCAATTAGAGACTATAAAACAAACAGAATCACTTTGTCACTTTAATGTTTTCACTTCGCAAGATTTAAGACTGATAAAATGGTGGGTCCCAAAGTTGCCTCCCACCTTAAAAAATTTGCTGGGAACTGAGGGTGCCCCTTTCTTTACCCCTTCTCCTGCCCATCCCCTCCCGCCCCCCCCCACAGGCCCCCAGCTTTTCTTCTTTGTTCATTCCTCCTTCTTTTCGGAAAGCCAAATAAACGGCGTCTTTGATGTGCTGCGGCTGCCTGCGAGAAGTCCGAGGAACTCTTCCTCGGCTGGCAGCGCAGATGGAAGGGCCGGCTGCCGGCGGACAACCCGCCCAATAGCGCTTTCCCCACTCGGGGCTCCTTACCGCGCACCCGGGCCCGGGGAGCGGCGGAGGCGATGGGGAGGCGGCCCTGCCCTGCACGGGCCCGGGAGCTCCACGTTCCCACCCGCTTTAGCCGGCCTGCTCGCGGCAGTGTCACCGCGTCGGCGGAAGCCTCCGGAGAGGCGCGCGTGCCGGCCCGTGGGTGTCTCGGCCGCCAGCCTCGACGCCCCGGGAGGAGCAGACATTCGCCCGCCCCCGTGCGCTCCTCTCGCACCCCCATCGCCGCGCCCCCGGGACTCCCCGCGGGGTCGCACAGGCCACTCAGACTGCGGGCACCAGTTTGCCCGCAAACCTGTAGCCTCGATCTGCGGCTCGGGGTTACGTCAGGGAAGACGGGCCAAGGGAGTGGGGGGAAGCGGCCCTGCCCCGGACCCCCTCGGGCACCGCCAGGTGGACCAGCCCCGGTGGGGGGGATCCGGGTCCCACCCCGGCATCTCCATGAGACCGCACGTACCCCGGGGCCGGTGGCGGGCGCGAGCGAGCGGGCCGCGCGCCCCCGGATCTATATTTTCCCCTCATTAGGATCTGGAGTTCGCTCTTGCATCTTAATGAGGAGCTGAGAGCGAGCGGGCTCTCGGAGGCCGGTGCGCAGGGAGTTACACGTGAGCGCCTGCCTCGGAGTTGAACCTCCAGCGCCCGCTCCGGCCGCCGGCCCTGAACCGCGCTCCTCTCTTCATTTATTTATTTTCCTAAATAAAAACATAAATCGTTGCGGCGCGCACGGAAGGGGGTGGGTAGGGAGAAGCCCAGCTCGACAGATGCGAGCATCTGGCCGCAGCATTCATTAGACACAAAATGGCTCCTCTTTGGAGCTTCCTTTTCCCTCCCCCTTCTCTGCCCTCCCCCTTACGTCACGGGTGGGCGCACCCGCTTCCTACCCGCCCCGCCCCTTTCTCGCTCCTGCCCCCCACGTGGGAGCCGTCGACCCCGCCCCCGAGCAAGACCCGGAAGACCAATCAGAGACCTCCGAGGGGGCTCCTTGTTCCTGATTGGCGGAACTGCAGGGAGCTGTCAATCCGCGGCCAGAGCTGTCAGTCAAAACCACGAGGGGTTGGGGAGCGCTGACAAATGCCGAGGCTTCTGAGCCTCCCGCTTGCAAATAGTGCTTGGAATGGCTGCTTAATTAGCTTTGAATGGCTTTTCCTTCCAGCTCAAACAATCTGTCACTACCATGTGGTATAAAGGAGCCATGCATAAAAAAGTAAGCAGAGGCTAAATATCAATTTGATTTTGTGTATCAAAGGAATATTTTATTTTTCTCCCTAGTAATGAAACGTATCAATTTAAATAATAAAAGGTAAAAAACACACACACACACACCAAAAAAAGAAAAAAAAAAGGAAGGAAAAAAAAAAGGAAAAAGAAAGGAAAAAAAAAACCCTAAACTCCACGGTTCTCTGACTCCTGCGCACGCCTGAAACAGGTAATTTCTACAGCCCACGTTTAGGAGGAAACCTGAAGATTTCTCCCTCCCCTCCCTTCCCCGCCCCAAACTTGCGTTGTGTTTTGTTGTTGTCGTCCAGAAGTCTAGAAAGGAGAGATGGGGGAGGGGTGGCCTGTAAAAGGAAAGGTGGGGGCAGGGAGGGGGCAAACTTTAAAGGGAGCCCTTTGAAGCTGCTAATCAAAGTGTAGGGGATTTTAAGACCCCGTAAACCGGGGATCCCACAGCAGGTCTCGATTTGGGAGCCAAGAGGAGGGGGAGTAGCGGGTGTGCGTCTCGCCTGGATTTATTAAACACAATGCCTTCAAGATGCGCCTCGTCCGGCCTCCCTTTCTCGATCTTATTCCGGACTGACTCCGACGGCGCCCGCCCGCAGTCTGCCGACTAGTCCCAGCCCCCAGGTCAGGTCTACTCGGATTGCGGACAGAAGAGCCCAGCAGCTCTGTCCCCGGCGTAGGCACGGCTCTTGCCCCGACCTCCGCGATCTCCGGGAACCCAGGAGCCTGGACACTCCCACAGGGAGGACTCCCGTCCAGTTCACCTGTGAACACCAGCGCCCGCGCGGAACGCAGCACCTTGAAGGAGTGCGCGGCTGCATAGACCGACCTGGTTTTGCAGAGCGCCGCCTCCTGTAGGGCGCAGCTGGAGGGCCCGCCATGCAGTCAAGAATGGTTAGGGCCCTAGAGCGCTTACTGTGCACCAGGCAGGCCGCTGTTACCCAAGCGAGAACTCTCTCCGTCCTCACCTCACGCCCCTGGAAAGCTGCCCGGCTGGTAGCCCCATTTAACAGAGTATAAAAGAGAGGCAGAGAAAGCTCCCAATTTGCCCCAAGCTGGGCATAAGTGTTAAGATTAGAATGGGGGGGGCGGGGGGCAGCTAGCTCAAGAACCAACCTCAGTCTCTCCTTTGCCTGCGGGAGGATCTGTGCAAGCATTTGCTGAAGGAAAGGCATTGATTCTTTCCTATTCATTCACTCTTTCATTCATTAGCAGCCTTTTCCGAGGGTCAAGCTGTAGGGTCACAGGCCCCTCTCGCCCGCCTCCGGAATCCTACTCGATGCACACCCAGCATCACTCCCTACTCTCCCAAGTCCAGAACAGGAAGAGGGGCCGGAGGTAAGTAACCAGGCCAGCAGCCCCTTAGGCTTGCCACCACTCTAACCCGCGCGACACCCTACAAATTAAAAAAGAACAAGGAGAAATATACATTTCTTTTATGCTCGAGAAAGAGAAAAGAAAATAAAAAAACATGTATACAACACCATGTCCAAAGCGCTTGACAATTATTTTTAAAGGAGGGGAGTGGAGAGAAAGAGTTCAAACGTCTCTGTCTCCAGTTCTAATTGGAAACGTTTCAACTGTTTATGTTACAAGAAGTGTCAGGGTCATTTGCTACCGGAGAGCTGACTTTTCATTGGCTGCTTAATTGAGTACCTCGGAGTCCACCCCACGTGGGAGAGGAATTCCTGGCACATTAAAAAAAAAAAAAAAAAAGTCACCCGGGTGAGACAGAAAGCCCGGCCTGGATTTCCCAAACCGAGTCTCCCCAGACCCTCATTTGGGGTGCAGGGTGGTTGATGGGCAGCTGTTTGCCAGCTCCAAGAGCTGCTGCTCTGTTTCTTTCAAAATAATTGCCAAACACTTCAGAGAGAGTTTTAATATATGTTTTCTCCCTTTCTCAGAAATTAAAGGGTCTGGCTCAGGTCAGCCACCAGGCTGTGGCCTCCTGTTTGAGGAACCAATCCCAATGCTTCGGGTGGAGTTTTGAACCTCTCCCTGTCATCCCTTCTTCTGCCTCAACTGACTTTGATTTTTTTTTTTTTTTTTTTAAGACCTCTCCTTTGGACTGCTCCGAAGGAAGAGAAATCTTCATCCCTCTCCCTTTGGTTGATTCTGTAAGGCTCCTCTGATGATTGGCCTTTGGCCCCACTGCTAAGGCAATTCTGCCCCCCCCCCCCCCCCACTAGTCATTCTAGGCCTTCCTCTGCAAGCAAGCACCTGGCCATAGAGCAAGAGGAAAGAGAATTTTTATTTATTTAACAAACTCTTACATAGTGCTTACTCTGCCAGACACCGTTCTAAGCACTTGACAAATATTAACACACTTAATCCTTTCACAGTGAATGGAGTGGGTGCTATCAGGGTCACTCCTGTCTTAGAGGGGACCAATTAACACACTGTGGTAAAGTGACTTGCCTAAGGTCACTCTGAAGGCTGCTAGACTTGAACTCAGGCAATTCGGCTCCAAGGTCTTCACCACTAGGAGAGCTTGGCTTTCCCCGGGAATGCAGATCAGGCTTCAGAACACACCACAGGAAACTGGAGGGCCCCAGGAAGTCCCAAAGGGAGCCCCTAGAGAGCATATCAGGGAGCCACTTCTTATCAGGGAAGGGGACCAAGCTCTGAGAGGTGGGGGGGGTACTTCCCAGGGTCTCCCAACCCCTCTTCTAATTCTCTGGCTGTCCCCAGTTCTGTGATGTTGGGGACTTATTTCATCTTGCTAAGCCTCCATTTCCTCATCTGTAAAGTGGAGATTACAATCCTGTCTACTGCGGAAGATTGTTCTGAGGCTCGAGGATTGTTCTGAGGCTCGATGGAGATCGTGCACGCGATGTACTTAGTCCAGAACCTGGCATGTGAAGCAATCAATCACAGTCAGCTATGGTGGCCATGATGGTGATG